TTTGTGAACAGAACAAAAAATACACTGGAATACCCCGATGGAATTTTTCCCTTGTACATCTGTGTGGTTCACGGAAATCGAATGTAAGCACACAATGCATGCGGACCATAAGCATCAGTCGTGACTGATGCCCACGGTTAACATGCTGTGTGACGTGTGACGTGTCTATTGGATAGGAAAACAAATATGACCCACTGACCACAGGTTTGATAAAGTCAAATAACATTCAAAAAACGCGGAGAGTAACCCCCCCCCCCCAAACAAAGGCAAATCAACTTTAAACAAAGAATTGGAAACGCACAATTCGCACCACGAACCAGAATGTTCCGAGCCTCGGTCAGTTTCTCTATCTGCTCTTCCAGTTCCAGATTTCGCTGGGTCAGCTGGGCCACCATTTGATCAGCCCCCAATGATGCGTCCACTTGTTCTTTGAGTTCAATCACTTGTTCCAGCGATTGTTTTAACTCGGTAGATAGGCGTTCCTTTTCCGTGCTCAACTGGTTCACTTCCGATTCCAACGACCCGATCTGAGAGCAAACACAGCGGGACAGGTGGCGAGTGCTTAGCAGGTGAAAATTGTTGCATTGTATGGTATTCAAACGAAACAAAATAAAACACTCAGATTTCAGTCAGTTATCAGAGGTGGAGAGAGAGATGGTTACGTTGAAGTTAACTGATAAAAACGAGGAACAAGTTAAGGCTGTCATCGGTAAAATACAGCATATTTCCGACGACGATATCAATTCACCAATTCTAATTCTGATAGGGAAAGGACCATTGTTCTCTATAAAAGTGAATATTTTCTTCTATTTTCCCTATTTTTCCACTTATTTTGATGAAATTTGAATTTTCGGATTTCCGCTTCAAAAAAGACTCATACCGCACCGCCGGCCATACTTGATCCTCATTAGTCCATTTTCCTTCACTCAATACTTTCGTGCTATTTTCAAAGGCCAGTCCCCAAACATTATATAAACAGATGAGTTATCCGCTATCTTCGCCTTTACGGTCGAGTGAAGTATACAACCTCGCCTGAAGGCCTGTCTTCCGTGTTCTCTCTGGTCGATTTCGGGGCTCGAGCTGCTTTCGCGGGACGTTCTTTCTGGTTTTACCGGGATTCGCGTTGGTGTACTGCAGTCGGGCGTAATCGTGTATCGTTCACTGGGTCATACGGTTTTGTTCGTGGTCATTACTGCGGCACGTATCGTTGGGTCACGACGGCTCGTGCTAGTCCAGTCGTATCGTCCACTTCAACGATACAACAAATTCCTAGGGCTTACGTTACCCTGGTGCCGACAGTAGAGCTGCCTATCTTGGGTGGTGGGCGGTTCGAACATTGAACCACAGGATTACAGGACGCCAGGGACAGTAACTCAAACAGATTGACTACCACCACCATCCTAAATGCAAATGTGTAGCATTTCCCCCAATGCATTTGACGCTTTTAGTGAACGGCATATAGATAACCGACTTCTAAGAACTGTCCACAACAAAATACTGATCGTTCATTAATGTTTTGTTTTGCCTACTAAACCGAAGAATGGGCACTACTTAAACAGATAAAACTTTCCCAGGAAAAAAGTTAATCAATGTTTATTAATGGTCCATCTCATATATACCAATATCCTGGGCGGCATAGCTAATAATCTAGATTGGGTTGTGTGCAAATTGTTACATATTATGGCATGGTATCTCAATCATCCATATCTAACAAAACAACATTGACAGTACCGGGAGAGTGTTACAACAATCAGTTTAGCTCGCTCACCTCTTTTGTGAGTTTGGAAATCTCTTGTTTGTCTTGGTTGGCCAGATCACGTAATTTGACCAGAGCCTGTTTCATGCGTTCATTTTGTTGTTCCAAATTCTTCAGCTGAACCGAGGTGGGCACTCCCTCGCCGGCTGTTTCCTCTCCTGTGGTTGCTCCGGCAGCTTAAAGGAGAAACAGAAATAGCGGGTCCCATAACTAAATGATCAACTAAAAGGTGACTGCATCAACAGTCAAGTCTCAACACTATTGTGATTACACGAGTGATTTGGTTCCAACACTACTTTAGCCCATGGGCCCATCAATATTTTAGAAACTACCTCTGACTGTGGAAAGTGGCTCAGCTCTAGTAATGTGCGGCAATACTTTTGTTACTTGATGTGATGACGCAATCCCTTGATCTTACTGATGGACCAGATTGTCTCCAGATGAAGGCTGTATATTGCTTCAGGTGCAAAACCAGATTGTGGTAGATACGGGATTTATCCGGTTCTGCCATGTTGAATCTCTTGTGCTCGTGAGGGGAAGACAGAAACTGATACAATCTCGTAAAAGCTAAGGCATAAGCTTGATTCATAG